AAAGGCTTTGGCATAGTCAATAAAGCAGAAGTAGATTTTTTTTTTTTGAACCTTCTTGCTTTTTCGATGATCCAGCAGATATTGGCAATGTAATCTCTGGTTCCTCTGCTTTTTCTAAATCCAGCTTTCTAAATCCAATATGTGGAAGTTCACAGTTCACTTACTGTTGAAACCTGGCTTGGAGAATTTTGAGCATTACTTTGCTAGCGTGTGAGGTGAATGCAATTGTGCAGTAGTTTGAGCATTCTTTGGCATTGTCTTTCTTAGGGATGGAAATGAAAACTGACCTTTTCCAGTCCTGTGGCCACTGCTGAGTTTTCCAAATTTGATGGCATATTGAGTGCAGCACTTTCACAGCATCATCTTTTTGGCTTTGTAAAAGCTCAACTGGAATTCCATCAAGTCCACTAGCTTTGTTCATAGTGATGCTTCCAAAGTCCCGCTTGACTTCACATTCCAGGGTGTCTGGCTCTAGGTGAGTGATCACACCATTGTGATTATCTGGTTCATGAAGATCTTTTTTGTACAGTTCTTCTGTGTATTCTTGCCACCTCTTCTTAGTATCTTCTGCTTCTGTTAGGTCCATACTATTTCTGTCCTTTATTGAGCTCATCTTTGCAGGAAATGTTCCCTTGGTATCTCTAATTTTGTTGAAGAGATCTCTAGTCTCTCCCATTCTATTGTTTTCCTCTATTTCTTTGCACTGATCACTGAGGAAGACTTTCTTATTTCTCCTGGCTATTCCTTGGAACTCTGCATTCAAATGGGTATGTCTTTCCTTTTCTCCTTTGCTTTTGGCTTCTCCTCTTTTCACAGCTATTTGTAAGGCCTCCTCAGACAGCCATTTTGCTTTTTTGCATTTCTTTTTCTTTGGGATGGTCTTGATTCCTGTCTCCTATACAGTGTCACAAACCTCCGTCCATAGTTCATCAGGTACTCTGTCCATCAGATCTAGTCTCCTAAATCTATTTCTCACTTCCACTGTATAATCATTCGGGATTTGATTTAGGTCATACCTGAATGGCCTAATGGTTTTCCCTACTTTTTTCAGTTTAAGTTTGAATTTGGCAATAAGGAGTTCATGATCTGAGCCACAGTCAGCTCCCGGTTTTGTGTTGCTGACTGTATAGAGCTTCTCCATCTTTGTCTTCTTATTATCAGGTTATAAGATTTCTTTATATAGTTTAGATACAAATTCTTCGTCAGATATTTTGTATACATATTTTCTCCCAATCTGTAAATTTCCTTAACTGCTGTTTTAATTTCAAATAGCTGTTTTAATTTTTATGAAGTACAATTTTTGGCTTTTTCTTTTACAGTTTTATAGCAATTTTCTGTGCCATATTTAAACAAGTTTAACTCAAGATCATGAAGATTTTTCTCCCATCTCTTCTTTTTAGAAGTTTTGTAGTTTTGGATTTTGCATTTAGGTATATGATCCATTTTGACTTAATTTTTGGAAATGCATATGGTATAAGCCAAGGTTCATTTCTTGGCAAAAAGATGCTCGATTGAGTACAACTGCTGAAATGATCTCTTCCTAATTACCTTCACACTTTTGTTGAAAATCAAGTTATCATATCTATATATGTCTATTTCTGAAAACTCTACTCCCCTTAAAAAAAACTTCCAGCCATTAATGAACTTAATTTTTACCAAGAGGTGCTTCAAATAGAGCGGTGGACTGATCTGAACTCCATATACTCTTCAGTTTTAACTTTATAGGATTCTAGAAAGGTATTCAGTGTTTCCAAGGAGTCTGTTTAGGGGGATTCTTCCCTTGTTTGGAATGCAGAGAAACAGAATTCAGATAAAAGTTAAAAACAAAAAAACTATTAGCTGGATTAGAGGACATGTGACCACAATGGGTTACCACATACCCTACCCCTAAATTAGATGGACTTGCTCACCCATGTCCAAGGTAGAGGTGGACAGCTTTGGGCTTCCCAGTAGAAGCTTAGAAACCTTAGAAAGCTCAGGATTTGGCTGAAATCAGAGACAGAGATAGGAAGCAATCTGCCCATGAGTCACTCCTCTTTCCCTGGGATGGAGTGACTGGGGGAGTGAGAGGGTCAATTCCTAGGTAGGTTGATAAGAAGTCCGGGGTCCACGAGGAGGAGAAAGGGGTCTAGGGCTCTCAAGGAGGAGATAGGGGTCTGAGGTTCTCAAGGAGGAGAAAAGGACAAACATTACTTCTACATTGCTTTGTTTTAGTCAACATAACAATATATCTTGCTGGAGGACATGTTTCTCCTTAACAAGAACCTTCTGACTAATCTTGTTATCTTATGGGAGTGGGTCTGGTGAGAGCTTTCTATTGTTACTTAATCTTGTTAATTTAAGGTGTCTGTTGTGGGAGTGGGTCTGGTAAAAGTATTTAAGGCCTTGATAAGACTAGTGAGGGGGGTGCTCTCTGTCCCCCTCTGATGTCTCTGTAAGAAGCTTTCTCTGTCTGCTTTCACTTTAAGAAAACTGCTACACAAAAGCTCTTGAGTGATCAAGCCTGGTCCCTGGTCCCGGATATAAATCTTCTTCGGAGATCAGGAATCTGACAAGGCTCACAGTAAGCTATCAGGAGCTTGTCTTTCCCTCCTGGACTGGTGAATGGAAATTTTCTACACTCTATGGAAATGTGAAGGATGAGAAATAACTTTTCTAGCAAGAGGCAGACTAGCTGTGCTTGATAGTCTGTTTGAAGTCAGCTCCCTAAAGCTTAGCAAAGGCTACCAGGGGCAAAATTTTGAAATAAGCTTCATTATTGTTCCCATAGCTACTTTCCCTTCCTTCATTTTTGAACCTGGGTATAAACTCCAATCACAGTTTTTTTTGTTTTCTTTTCAGTGACTTACCTGGAAGCATCCGCAGAGACTAATAGGTGAGGGAGAAGGGAACAGATCGTTATATACGTGAATCTTCTCTAAGTTACATATTTATGAGTAAACTCTTTCTCATTTCTCCATCAGATGTATTAAATTCTCACACACAACTTTAGACACCTTTGGAAGCTTATTTAAATTATTCCTTTTCCAGGAAGGGTTAAGCTTGGTTTGACTACTTGCTTTTTTGGTATTTTGAAGTACTCAATGACTATCTACACAGGCCTTCTTCCAAAAACAGAATAAAATACAATTACATCTACCACCTAAAGTCATTTCTCCTTTTTCAGAGTGGTGAATGATGATTACTGTGTGTCCACAAATACTCTTATTCATGATTTTAATTAGCATGGATAATTTGGTCCAGAAGACTTCAGTTCAAATATAGCAGCACAGTTTGTTTTTTAAAATTATACTTTTATTTTTATTTTGAGGTATTTGTAGATTCACATGCAGCTTGTAAGGAATAAAACAGAGAAATTTCATTGTGCCCTTTACCCAGTTTCTTCCAGTGGTAACATCTTGCCAAGCTACTGCGCAATTTCACAACCAAGATACCGACATTGATATAGTCATGATACAGAACATTTCCACCCTCCAAAGGATCTGTCATGTTGCCATTGTACAGCCACAAACACAATTCCCTCCCCCCATCACCAATCTCCCCCTTAACCCTTGGAAACCACTCATCTGTTCTTCATTTCTGTAATTCTGTAATTTTAAGAATGTTAAGTTGAGTCATATGGTACACAACCTTTTGGGATTACTTTTGCATTCAGCATAATTATCTAGAGTTTAACCAGGTCGTTGCATGTATTCATACTTTGTTCTTTTTCATCACTGAGTAGTATTCCATGGTATGGATATATTACTGGTTGTCAAACCATTTACCCAGTGAAAAACTTTGGGTTGTTTTGGCTATTACAAATAGAGCTGCTATAAACATTTATGCATAGTTTTTTAATGTGAAAATAAGTGTGCAAAAACATGTTTATAACGATATGTAACTCTTTACCTAATTTTCTGGCTGCTTAACTACAGAGAAAAGAAACTCAGGCATCTGCCAAAGGTCACAGACCACCTCCTTATAAGTGAGGATTAACTAATAACTCTTATCAGTACTTACAGCTTTATAACCTTAGGAAGCCCTTGACTCTCTCTCTCTGAGCCTCAACCAGACAAGATGTTTTTCAAGGTGTGTTCTTTGAAATATGAACTTCATGAAATGCTCCTAAAGGGGAAGGGGAGGTGGGAAAGTTAATGGTCAAATAAGCTGGAGAAATTCTGAACACTATGTTCACATTCCTCTTTTGAAATAAACAAATGTCCTTGTGGTGTACAAAAGGAAGGATCTAATATTCAACGGCCCAAGTTCAAACCTCCACTTGCTAAAATAGTAACACTCAGTACAATACTTAACTTTCCCACATCTCAACTTCTCCATCTATAAAGCAGAGATAACAACAGTACTCCACTCATATCAATGAAAGAGTAACTATAAGGACACCAGAAAACACTTGATAAATGTTAGTTATTATTATTATTGTCATCATAATCAAAACAATAAAAATCATTATAATTTATTTGTTAAAAATATACATGTCCAGACCCACCCCTGGAAATTCAGATTCATAAAGTCTAGGGGAGAGTCTAGTCCAAATGAAGGAGCAGAAGTTCATCTGTATTAAGAAAGGGTCCAAGATAGTTCTAGAAGCAGGACCCAGACCACACTGCCTGATGGAGAATTGTCATACTCACATCCATACTCATTCTCAGTAAATCCTTTAACTCAACAGTCCTGCAGAAAGAGCATGGTTCTCTCCTGAATTGAAGGTTGGGCTTATAATATTAACTCATGATTCCTTAAGGGGATAGTTCAATAAAATAAAATGCAGTTCTGGGATGCTGGCACACAACAGCTTTCAAAAATATTCCTAAGCATTAAAAAAAAATTTTTTTTAATTTAAGCATTGGTATGTAAAATTTTTACTTGTGAGTAATTGTTTAGCAAATCAAATCTGAAGACTGGACATTATTTCTTTAGAAATACAAGAAAATAATTATGATTGCTATTGTTTCTGAAGGTTTCACCACCATACTGCTGATTTCCAAAGGTCTTAACTGTCAACGACCAGGCAAATTTCCAAGACACGTGGGGAATGACTCTGGAGGTGGTGGCAATCTTCTTACCACTTCAGTAGCAATCCTTAGGTAGGCTTTGGCCTGGAAAAGAATAGATTTATTTGCTGTATATTTCTCCCCAGTACACATCAAGTGACTCACAAACTGCCGTCGCTGTCTACTGAGTTGAACAGAATGTGATGAAGAAATTCAACAGTGAGAAGATACTGCTTCGAACATTGCAGGTGGGGCAGAGGAGAAAGGATTTTAGGTTATTTGGAGGGTAACTATTTGGAAAGTGACTTTCTGAAAAAAAAAAAAAATCAATATTTAGTAGCTGCAATTACTGTTTCAGCAAACTAGCAACTCAGTCCACCTGCAGAAAAATTAATCTTCCTCTTCTGAAAAGTTGATATCCTGAGTGGGATACTGCCATAATTCTTTGGCATTAAGAGCTGTTAGTCATTTTTGAAAAGACTATCTATACCATCCTAGGTTTATCTTTGGAAAGCATTTTTGTCATTCTCTCTGAGAATGGTGTCTGATACCAGCACCATGTACCTAAAGGCTCCTCCATCCGGTGAGATTTAAGCACCACGCAAGAATTCCTACAATCAGTTGTCACAATGTCCATCTCTACGACCCCAGTACAACACAACACAAAAAGCAGCTCCCAGGCATCAAGTGGGCCACAACTGGCCTGCACAGTCCAGTTAGAACAATGGTCATGGCATTTGTATTTCAAAGTTTTAAACAAGTAAAATGCAAATACTACTTATTTCTTCTACCTTATCTATGAAAAGTAACTGTAAGACAATAGCAAGGTTTTCTAAAACTGTTAATTTATACATTTATATACTTGTGTAGATACTAATTCTACTACCATTACAACCAGCACCACTTGAAGTAATGGTAATAGTTAAAATTTACTTGAGTACTTAATAATGGCCAAGTATTATTTCATTTTATCCTCAAAGTTATCCTAAGGGGTAAATTCTGTCATTATTTCCACTCTATAGACAAGAAAACCAAGACTCAGAAAGATGAAGAGTCTTGTTCACAGCATCACAGCTAGTGTGAGATGAGCTGGGCTTTGAACGCAGGCAGACCAGTTCCTTGACTCTAGAAGGTAAAAGAACTGTTTGAGGCTTCTTTACCCCGACTTTACCCTATCAATCCTAAAGGAAATTAGTTCTGAATATTCACTGGAAGGACTGATGCTGAAACAAAAACTCCAGTACTTTGGCCACCTGATACAAAGAGCTGACTCATTGGAAAAGACCCTGATGCTGGGAAAGAAAGAAGGCAGGAGGAGAAGAGGACAAGAGAGGATAAGATGGTTGGATGGCATCACCGACTTGATGGATAGCAAGCTTCGAGAGTTGGTGATGGACAGGAAGCCTGGCATGCAGCGGTCCATGGGGTCACAAAGAGTTGGATACGACTGAGCAACTGAACTGAACTACCCTGACTTGATGTTTAACCATGTTTCACATATCTTGATTATTTTTTTAAAACTACACTCAAAAGTAAATATTTTCTCCATTTGGAGAAATAGTTTAATACAGACCCCTGTGTATTTACATTATGAAGTTGACACAACATAATTAGAAATCAGCATTTTGAAAAGCAAAATAATTATTTTGATATATTATATAATTATGTCGGGCTTCCCTGGTGGCTCAGATGGTAAAGAATCTGCCTGCAATGCAGGAGACCCAGGTTCGATCCCCAGGTCAGGGGAGAAGGGAAGGGAATGACTACCCACTCAAGTATTCTTGTCTGGAGAATTCCATGGACAAAGGATCCTGGCGGGCTACAGTCTGTGGGGTCGCAAAGAGTCAGACACGACTGAGTAGCTAACGTTTTCACTTTTTCATATAATTATATACATATACACACACACATATATATTATAATTTTGTGCCACAAAAAGAAACCCATATTTGTAACTCACATCATAAATTTAAATATTTGCCACATATTATATCAGAAAGAAGAAAAATGTGTACACACACATATAGCTACCTTTATGTATCTGTATATGTGTATGTGTAAGTATCTGTGGATACATAGGTATTATATGTACATATACATATAAACAGGGCCTACTATATGGCACACGAAATGCTGCTTAATTTCTGTAATAACATAAATGGGAAAAGAATTTGAAAAAGAATAGGTACCTGTATATGTTAAAATAAAAAATTTACTTCATTTCCCTCTGGGAGTTAGGAATGAAAAAGGTCAGTCATGTCTGTTATCTCTCAATCAACATGCTGGAAAACTGTTCATTAAAGAAATTTTAAACTATATTAATTACAACAATGACAAACATCTAAGTGTATATTGTCTATATATATATTGCCATGCTACTTGTTTCATTGTTGAAACATATCATATATAATTACATAAAATATATGTTTCACATTACTACTTTATACCTTACATTTTGGCTCTACTTCTAGAAAAAGATCCAATGATTGTAATCAGAAATGTTTGACTTTAAAAGAAGTAATTATTAGTTATTTATGTTAATATTAATAATTGATATATTTGGATTTGTATTTATTTTTTGTGGTTTCCTCAAAAGACCTGATTTAATTTCTTATTCAACCTATATTAACTTCTTTTCTACTAACTTTTAAAAATAAACACTTGACCCCTTTTCTTTATAAGTTATATATTTAATATTTGTCAGTTTTTGATCTAGAAACAACAGTGTAATTTAAAAAAACTAACTACTGAGCAATTTTATTTAATACTTTAAAGATCTACCCTAACAATGTAAGAAGATTACACGTAAATCTACTTTCAAGTGCTACTTCTTCATTGGTGATATGTATTTAAATTTCTTTAAAAATACATGCAAGGATCCTAAGTGCACACAGCAATTAAAGTGTACAAAGTGAACACACTTCTGTAACTCAACACCTATGTCAGTAAGCAGAATACTGTCAGACTTCCAGAAAAAAAGAAAAAAACTATGTTTGTTCCCTAATGAGTGAATTATATTTTATTTTACCAGGAAAGTGTTAAAATTTCATTTACTCTTCTTTTAAATAGGAGAATAGCTCTCAAAACATGAATAAGACCTTATATGTTTTTACTGAATACATACTGTACTAAGTACTAGTATAAGTAATCACACAATCTCACGTATGTAAAATAAACACCATTGGTTCAACTTGGATGAAGAAACTGAACTTGTCTGCTCAGTCACAAAGTTAGCAGGATGAAGAACATTCACAGCTGGGTCTGCCTGACTCCAAAGCCCAGCTCCTTCCAGCATGTCACATGTGTGGGCTGTGTGTTCAGTCGCTCAGTTGTGTCTGACTCTCTGTGAGCCCATGGACTCCCGCCAGGCTCTTCTGTCCATTGAATTCTCCAGGCAAGAATACTGCAGTGGGTTGCCATTTCCTCCTCCAGGGGATCTTCCTGACCCAGGGATTGAACCTGTCACTCTTGAACTGGCAGGTGGATTCTTTACCACTGAGCCACCTGGGAAGCCCCCCACATCACAAAGAAAGTGAAAGTGTCAGTCACTCAGTCGTGTCCCACTCTTTGCGACCCCATGGACTGTAGCCCACCAGGCTCCTCTGTCCATGGAATTCTCCAGGCAAGAATGCTGGAGTGGGTTGCCATTTCCTTCTCTGGGGGATCTTCCCAGCCCAGGGACTGAACCCGGGACTCCCACATGGCAGACAGACTTTACCGACTAGGGAAGCCACATCACACATTAAACAGTAAATCCACAATACAAGTAATTCTAATCAAGATGTACTGTCTAAAAAGGGTTTCAGTCACCAGAAACAACAGATTTTGCTTAAAAATGGAAATAACATATATTTTATAAAGAAATATTTCTCTTAAAATGAAAGTGTGATTTTTCAGGACTTTCCTGGAAGTCCAATGGTTAAGACTCTGCTTCCACTGCAGGCAGCACAGGTTCCATTCCTGGTTGGGGAACTAAGTTTCCACACACTGCACAGTGTGGCAACACCCCCACCCCACCCCGCAAACGTGCTTATTTTCACCTATGCATTTTTATAAATATTAACACCTTTTCTCTCCTAGTAGCTTTTCTAGGTATTTAAGTCTAAAATTTTACTGTGTAAATAAAAGCACATTAAGGCAAGCTGAGCCATCATTCTATAATCTCTTAGTTCTGACTTACGTTAAATTAGAGATATAAACCTATCTCACTACACAAAATAAAGATTCCATAATAATCAAATTTGCTACATTTAACCTTTGCTTTTTAATGGACTATTCCCAAGCTTAAACTTTCAATATATCACACTGAAAGTCAGTTAGACTGTCATTCGCTGAGAAACCACTGAAAGTGCTTACTTTAACACAGTTTCAATTTCCACAAAACTGTTGAGATTGAATTTTTTTTAGCCAATGGAGTATCATTCAACAAATACTTTGGTTCTTAGTGCAAGGCATAGTTTTGGGAAATCTGTGGGATGTAATGATAAAAAAAAAAAGGAGGCAGAAGCACTCTCTAGTGAGGAGTTGGGGCCTTAAGGTCAGACAAGTAAGCTTTAAAATCCTAGTTCCAATACTTATTAGCACTGGCCTTGGGCAAGTGAATTAACCCATCCAGGCTTGGTTTCCATTATCTGTAAAATGGTTATAATAATAGTATCTACCTCAAAGGGCTTGGGGGCATATTAGGTTAAGAATAAAGTATGTGAGGTACTGTAATACAAAAAGTAAATAATAAATGCGTGTCTACCATTATTACTATTATGTCCTCAAGTAATGTACAATCTCACTGAAGAGTTCATAGTAGCATATCCTTTTGGACAATTTTCCTGCCTGAGGACTAAGTAAATTAAATCCCTTCCTTTTGTTTAATCTATCATTACCAAGTAAAGGAACTGGATGACAACCAAAGTACACAAGCTTTATGGTGAGCTTTTCCCCTTTGTCTTTGTTTTTAAAGATGTGAAGTTCTAATTTTCTATATACAGTCATTTCATATTAGGATTATGAGGTTATAATGTGGAAATTATAAGACAATAAGGCTTCTACTTCTACTTTTAAAGCCTTTACCAGGTATATCTTACAGCATAACTTTTAACATCCAATAT